ACCTGTACGTTTTATGGTGTGTTGCGTACACGATGCGTTTATGCGTTTCACTTTAACGGACGCAGAAAATGACTCCGTTAACATAATACACATGTGCGTTGAGGGAGCGATTCTGACGGATACGCTCTTGGCGTAAGTGTTGACGCGTATATGGAAAGGCGCCCTTAATGGAGTCGATTTTGAGTCCGTGAAAGTAAACCGCGTGAACGCATCGTGTACGCAACGCACCCAAAAACGTACATTACGGAAAGGTGCCTTACACATGCAAGCCACCAGGAAACTAATGACAATTTACTGTCTTACTAAAAAAAACTCTAATTCACATTATTTTACCCTGGCTCATGAACATGGAAATTTTAAATTTTGGTCCAAGCTAAACACTTGAATTTTAAAGCAAATCCCTTTGTGAATATATACCTTCCAACTTTTATTGCTTACTTAACTATTATCGATACACTTTTTGTTGTGGTGGACACAAATGCTTTCAGCAAAAATTTATTTCTATTTCTATATCTTGTGCTCCAAAATCGACATAGGTCGTTGTCCTGTTTCTCAAGGAAATGTTGGCGCGGAATTACTTTTTCTTATTATATCTCATCACTGTGTGGACTACTCTCCAAGGAGTTTACTCCATTTGCAAAAATTGGTTGCAACAAACCTTTTTGAAATTGGGCAGCATGGCTCTGAAACCCTCGAGTCCACAGTTTCTGTAACCACTGGGGTTTGGGTGTACTTTTTAACAAGGAATGGAATAGGTTTCTGACATTCAGCACTCCCCTGCAGAGTATTGCTTATAGATGTGCGTGTGTTCTATTGTGGTTCTTCAGGTTAATGCACCTTAAAGGTTAGAAATTTTGAAATGGAAAAAGGAATCACAGCATTTGTACCTCTGTACGGATAGATACTGGAATTAAAAGTGACTATAATACTTTCAGAATTGTGCAGGTTTTACTTGACGACCAAACCGGGTCTTTTGTGGAAAACTAAGTAAATTGTACGCTGCCACGTGGAAACATATCAGCGGCGTAGGTGTGGGTGGGGGGGGAATTCAAAAGTGAATGTCACTTTGGGCTCATTCAACATGATGTTGGGGAGAAAAAAATTCAAAAGCCTTACTCACTGTCCCAACATCTTTGCTTTAATTTCATAGTGTTGTTTCCTTAGGGTTTGGTGCTAATATTTAAGAAATATACGATATGAAGTATTATATGAAGTTCAAAAATCTGTGGGGGGGGGTTTCACATTGCTGGAAAGAAAACGTTCCACACACTATTTATAACATCTTGTTATATGCGAAATATCTGCCTCCGGCTCCTGAAGTTTCAGGTTTTATCTCGCACCATAATTTTGCTTTTACGCCCGTTATTTAAGACGCATTTACAATCGAATCAAATTATAGATTTGATATGAATTTGTAGGTAAAAAGAGGTTAAATGGAGAAGCTTCAGGCAGCCGCATCCTCTAGAAATTACCCAGACGATTAACGACACATGGACAGGAAAGACGAATAATTCAGATTCAAATTGTTCCGTCATCGCTGACAGGTGATTCCTTATCTTCTGCGTGGGTGGGAGACTTCGTGTAAAGGTGCTGTACTTATATCACCGATGCTGTACTGTATTTTACAGTGTACTGTGTTTTACAGTCACCAAATGTTACTCTTTTGTAATTGTACGAAATTTTGATCGTAACACTGAGAAATTACCTATACATCTAATGTGTCTGTGACGATTCGCTTGTTACAAAACAGAAGTTTTGTCCCTTTTCTTTCAGTTACAAAAATGATTTTATGAAGAAGACACCAGCAGAATTGTCGTGTATTTTTGGAAGACATTTGTGACATACAAACAATTATATTTACTAAAGTATAAGTAAAACACGGCAGGGCAGCAAGCTGAGAAATTCGACAGATGCACTTTCAAATATCTTGATGTCGCGTTACTTGTCACTGTTCTCAAATACTCTGGGCATTAAGACACGTTTATTCCCTTATTGATCTATTTATTATTTCTCCATAAACAAAACTCATAAACACAAACCTATTTACCAATCCTAGATGAAATGAAAAAGATTCTGTTAAAAATCCTACGTAACGCAAGCCGCCTACTTTAATCGTCATATCAATGGAATATTATCTGCTTTACGGTCAAATTACAGACTATTTTGTTTGTCTCATTCAAAGTGAAATTTAGTGACTGTATCGAAGAATGATGATGATGTGAAAGAGCCGGGTTACTTTGGTCCGTCTCACAGCCTGGGGGGGATTGATTCCGCCTCCCCCTAAGAATTTCTCAATTTCTTTAAAACTTGCCATGCAGATAAACACATTCCTTATCATTACAGATATTAAGTCTGAAGTCAATCAGACATATGGTTTTGTTCCTACAGTTAATTGAAATAAAAGGCTATACATGTGTGGCGGCCCGTGTGCATTGAGCACACAGTCGAAAAAATATTTTTTTTTGGCTGACTCGTCTCAGAAAACCTTTTGTGCTCGCAAGAACATTGTTCGATTTTCGCAAAATTGGTGTCAAAATGATCACAAAGGGTTACTCTAAAAACCCCTGAAGGCTCAACTTCTGAAAAAAATGCATTGCGGCGATATTGGAAGAGCATGTCAGGGGCGGTATCTGCCCTGGCTCTTTTAGGGTTAAATGAGTTCTGAAAACCAGCTATAATTTTGTGTGGCCTCGTCGAGATAATAAACTTGCACTAACCTCCATTCCGTAGTGCTACACATTATGGATCGAACCCTTGTCGCTGCTGAGTAGCACCACACACGTTTCTGCAACTTATGCCTGTCAATTTCATAGACGAGGTTACCGCAGCGAAAAGGTCTCTCACTCAGCAGAGTTTGGGTTAAAAACAGTGACGCATGCTCACTCCCGCGTTAGCAGTCTGCTGTTAAACTGTTTGCTCAAAATAAAAACGAAACGAGTATCTTTGTGGCATTGCCACAAAGTTGGCCCAGCTTTTTATCACTTAACTTACAACCTGTCTGGCACTTTCACTCCCACTCTAATATCCGCGACGTGCAAACACATTAGATTCTTTTATTCTCTGGTTGATGGTATACAGAATGTCACCTTTTACGCTGCATGTATTCAACATATTATTCTGACAAGAATTACAAGTCTGGAATTAAGCCTCATGATCTCACGAATGCAATTTGCCGGTGATTGACATGTACAGTTTCAGCCATCTAGCATAACGCCAAAATGTTATTCCAATGTCGGAAACAGGTATCCTTGAAATACATTTACGAACAAGTCAAGTTTGAAAAAGGTCTGTCCAGTTGTCTGTCAGTGAAAGAATATGGAGCAAAATGGTGAGAAGTTTTTCAGGTGGGACTCATTCTTCAGAGCTAGGGGAGCTTGTTTCGAAAGAAATACGGGAATGAAAAGTTTACAATACTGGCTTCAGGTAACCTTTGAGATCTCAATATGATTTCGCATTCGATGAGGTTCACGACCTTAGTAAATAATGTTTGTTTAAAAATAAGAAATTGTTGATGAATTGTATTGTTCCCTTCAAAGAAGTCTGATCTAGAGTAAACAGGGTTAGTAAATTCATCGTCCGATCTTGCGTATTTTAAGGAAACATTTTGACGGACAGGTGAGCAACGTCTTTTCACACAAATGAGCAAATATTTGGTTCCTTTTTCAAATATTCTAAAGCGTTACAGGATCAATCGTCTTTAAACCAAAAGGATGTCAGCTGTACGTCTTTAATTAAAACTAAAACACACAACTCAATTAGTTGATTTACTATAGCTTTGCAATCAATATGCAATCAAAGTAATAAGCTATAAGGTTTATTGATGATGGTATGGTTTCAGAAAACATGCAAATTCGAAGTCGAGGGCAATCCGAATTTTTGAGTATGAAGCAAACAAATCATGGTCACAATAAAAACGCTAGATCCATGTTTATCTTCAACTGATCGAAGGTCATTTCCACTGGACAACTAATATTTGGGAATTGTTTTTGTCGGTTATCTATCACATACTGACTGATCTCGAAATCTTCTTGCAAACTGCTCTCAGCATGTTTTGTTGGATTGCATGCAAATGAAGTAGATCCTACGACAGTAAGGAGGGGCACCAGGGAACACTGCCAGAGAGAAGTGTTAAAACATGTAGTGGGTTTATGGGGGACATACATGTAGTCCACGGACGATGGACCGAAAAGTGATAGATGCTGATAAATACCCGTCCCGGAAAATGCCGCTAGTAATGACGGGGGACATCTCTCCTGACCCAGATCATCGCCATTAGAAGGGAACTGCTCAAGATACGAGAGTATCACTATGACCAATAATTCTTGGATAATAAGGATTTCTTAATGACTGCACATGGAAATGAAGTGCTATCGAAGTTCAAGTGAGTCAGACTAGTTACTTAGGCCTGTCATATAGGTATAGGACAGACAAGGTAGCAGGTGTTGTCATTAGTCCATGTTCGTTCTTCTTCATAGTTCCTCTTCTCTTGGATAAGGAATCGCTCACCCACGGGTTGTCACATTGTGGTTGAAAGGGGCACGTACTACAAACCTTCTGACGATGTACCGCCCTTATTTTATTACAGACGGGACAGGTTTCGGGAAAAATATCACGTCGAGGAAAGATGTCAATTCTGGCCTGAAGCTGTTTGCAAACGTTGTACTCCTTCCAGGCTTGAGGTGAATTATTAACATCAAAGACATCAGCGATTTCATACTAACAGCTCGTGAGAGACATTTACATGACAGTGATTAATAACCGAGGAACTATCGGGTCGAGAGACACTCAAGGATTGGACATTATTCGAGAAGCCTGTCTCTATCGAGTTTGAAATGTTCAAGCCACAATGAACAACAAATATCATACATCTTTTTTGTGATATGCTGAATTTGTTCATCATCTCTACTCGAATAATAAAGAGACCCATAGACAGGTAACGATGCGATACAGAGAAGGGGAAAAGGATGCATGTTTGAAGGTGAAGTAGTCTACAGCCATGATTGAAGGAATATCGTTTGTTAATTCAAACGTTCAATTGCATCACACAGCTCAACATGTGAAGATTTCTCACTAGCGGTGTGCAACTTCTTTTCTGACAACTGGGAAAAAACAGAAATGTTACCCCAGCATTTTAATGTAGGGTAAAATAAATCAAAACGCCATCTCGCTTCAAAAATGTACATTAATTTCGTTTGATATGAGTAAAAGTGTGAAATCAAATAAAAAGTGGCCAGCCAGAAATGTCAACTGGGGTTCTCTTCCAAGAATGCATGAATTGAAACACGCACACATGTACAGGCACTCACCCATTAATTGTGTAAACGTTAGGTGACTTTGAGATAGGTCATTTTCAGGTAATTTTACTTCCAAACAAAAAAACAGCAATTTGTGATGGTCTCGCTCTGTGCGTTTTGTTTACATGAAACAACATTACAAGAACTTGAAATGAAAACCTAGGCACTTCATAAATGTACAACAGAACAAAATGAAAATAATGCTTTTTATATGAAGTATACTTCGACCAAAACAAATGGTACAAACTCAAAAAACAGATCTTTGGTAAAGTAAAAAACCCAGTAACGATTAACATTAATGTTACATAATGGTACATTATTTAAAAAACACTAAATTTACATCATATGTGCACTCTTCTAAAGGTTTGAATTCAGACTTCAGGTAGGATTCACACAGAGGTGTGGAAAATTAAACTTTGCAAATGTTGCTCATATATATACTTTGGAATTACTTATAGGAAATTACAGTTATTGTTCTTCGTGTTTCTTTACTATTTGGAAAGCAAATACATGTACCACAAATATCAGAATCCAATTGCTTGGTAGCATGAGGAAAAATATGAATTTGAAATATAATACCCAAGATGCGTCAAAGTATGTTGTGGAAAAGGTACTTGGGTCACCATGGCAACCACAATATATTAATGCAGACTTTAGTAGGTGTGTATATATACCCCACTTGCTATGTAGAGTTTTTATAACCCTACTTGAGACCTCACTCCGAGTCATGTTACTTGATGCCCAAGCACAAAATGGATGCATAAACAGGCTGAAGTGGAAGGACTATCGCAAATTGGCTTTTCTTTTCACAATCTTTCCCTTCCCATTAAAATGTCATCCATGTGGAAACTCAAGCTGATGTTGATGCTGTGACTGATGACACGGAGGAAATATCAGCTACAGGAAGTTTAACTCCCTGCGTCAGAATGGAATGATCCAAGGCATATTGACGCCTCTCCTGCTGTAACCAGTACAACATCTCTGTACAGTCCACTTTCATTTTGTCCAGGTAAGGGCGACCCTGAGAAATGATGAGCAATAATGACAAGGAGCAGAATCAACTTTCTGCCATTTGTGCGACGGTGCAATTCTTAATGACAGTGATTATTATCATCTGGAAAGGCGATTTAGGATTCAAAAGAAAAAATGTTCCAGTGACTCATGACAGTTATCCCCAAAACAACTTTTTGAACAAAGAACTACATTTCAGAACTTAAAATTACAAAAACTACAAAAAGTGATGTATGCATAGACAGCTTTGTAAATAACAGGACTCTAAAATTTTGTTGGCAGTTTATGGTAAATGAAACACATGCAGAATCACTTACCTGATATGTTGGCGTGTCATCAAACTTCTTGTGTACATACTGAACCTTGTTTCTAACATGGACATCTAGATCATGAAGTCTTGTGTAAAGTTCACTGCGTTGCTTTGCTTCCTTCAACCGAGCTACTGAAGAACCTCGGTGACCTTTTAAGAGAGATGAAAACACACAAAAGATGAAGTTATGAACTAGTTAACTATGACCGGATATTGTTTGATCATAGAGGGGGGATGCATAGATTGCTGACGGCTTGGGCTTCATTTCTTCTTGACATTTGATTGAAACTGAAGATTGAAACTGTTATAAAATGAAGGGTGTCTTTGTTATAAAATGAAGGGTGTCACTGTTTGAAAATGAAGGTTGTCACTGTTTGAAAATTAAGGGTGTCACTGTTTGAAAATGAAGGTTGTCACTGTTTGGAAATGAAGGTTGTCACTTTTGAAAATAAATGTCACTGTTTAAAAATGATGTTTGTCACAGTTCGAAAATGATTTTTGTCACTGTTTCATAAATTCAATTTAACTAATTGTTTCATAGCTTTATATTTCTAATCCACACAAGGATCAGGAAGGTTTTTTTGCCATTATATTCTCTAGTTTGAGTAGCTTTTCACCTCCGTACAGCCTGTTGAGATCTATGTTGATCTATGATGTAATGGGCTTAAATTATAATTATTCTGTACATTAATTTATCGTAAATAACAACCTGGGCAAGAAGTGGTATTCTGGTCTTTGCCAAGGGGTTAAGATAGGATGTATGTTTCACATTTGATATGGGAAGTAGTGGATGGAATAAATGCCATATGTTTATAAGCATACAAAGTGGCCAACCTTTTTGAAAGAACCTGTCTGGATCAGAGGCCAATCTCTCAAATGTCTCCAACCTTGCAAGAATTGCCTCTCGTTGTAAAATGACTTCAGTGGCTAACTCCCATGCATCAATGGCCTGGAAGTCAAAGACAAAATCTTACATTTGGAATAAGAAGTAGGAAAGATAATGCCAACAGCAAAACAGGGTTTTTGTTTTGGACATAAAGTTGTAAGTGTGGGAATATCAGTAATAAAAAAGTAGGAGTTTTATTGGGGAAACACTTCTATAAAGAGGAATACGCCCTCAAGTCTATGTATAATGTGGTAATATTTCTCTTTAGATCTAGAAACAAGACAGGTATTGTATTTGATGTTTGTAATAAGTAGGTTTTGTCCACTTTAACACTAATTCTTATAAGACATATTCTAAAAAAAAAGAAGTTATTGCCCAAAGCAAATGTTCTAATGTATTCTAGCCACCAGCTCATCTGTCATTTCATGTCTGGGGTCTGGGCATTTCTGATCGTCTTGACTATCTCCTGCAGGAATTGTAATCTGACTGCCTGATTTTTGCATGCTTTCTATTTTTGTTTACTTCTGGCACTGAGTTACATGATCTTTGGGGAGTCAACCTGATCCCTCAAGTGAAACGAAGCCCCAAATTAATCCTTGCAAGAAGTGTCTGCTTTAGAAATGTCAGAAGCAACATTCAAAGAATGTGAGGTGATCAGGGTGGGTATTCTTTGTAGCTCTGAGAGGCAAGACTTACGAGCTCTTCCCTCAGGTTCACTTGTTAGTGTTTGATGGATGTATCTAGTTAGGATTGGGAAGGAGTTGTAAAAAAGTTGAGAGGTGAAAGCTCACTTTGAAACCAAACACACAGTCACAAAGACAAATCACCTAACCCAGAGTTGGCAACCCATATACAGAAATATGCAAACTTTAAATAAAAATCAACTCTTTTCTTTTGAAAGAAGTTTGCTCTTTGAAGACTCAAAGATTGACAAGACTGTTATGGTCTTTGTGAGGATACCAAAAACAGTTGAGCTTTTCAAACTCACGTGCTAGTTTTACACTGTTATCACATCTGCAAAGACCAATTGGTATCCAGAGATTTTTTAGGAAGAAATGACATGAATGCTCGATTTGAACAGGTGATATTTTTCACTTAAAAGTACCAAGAATGCTCTAGTTTGACATGCTGTTTTAAGCCTAGCTTCCATATTGCCGTTTCTAATGCAGACGGTCTGCAACACATGAAGATGCAGACATGAATGAAAGAGACGCTGCATGATGTCATTCCACCGACAAATTTAAACAAAATGGTGTCTGAAACTCTGTGATTTTTTGCGAAAACATACCCTTCTAAATTGATTGTATTGCTTCATGATGTCAAATGTGTACTCCACTTTCATGCATTTCATTGATGGTCAGCTATTTAGTTGATTAGAATGGTGTAATATGGTAAAATGGGCAAAATTTGTGGTACTAAGCAAGAGGGACATCGTTGCACACCGGTTATGCCAGCTTGTGTGTTTGTATGGGGATACTACGGCTACTTGATGCAAACAGTCGGTAAAGTTGATCCTGGCTCAACTTTGCAGATCTTTCGGGAAGTTTGTTTGCGCTTGTCTGTGTTGTCGGCGGCACCTCTGTTTGGCATTTTCCATATGTCTGCGTTGCAGTTTGCATCTTGATTGCATTGCTCTCTGCATTTCTTACATCGATATGGAAACCAGGCTTTACACATAGGGCAAGAACATACACTATCCAGTTTGTCCATATGTTCATCTGAGCTGTATTTGATTGCCATGTCTAGTTTCAAATTATCAGGCATCTGTAGAGAGGTCCAGATTGCTTCCAGTCTGTCTTGAAAATTCAGAGGCTCAGGAGCAAAAGTTGTCATCTGAGATTTCTGATTTAACAAAAACAAACATGATTGACAACAGTCAACCTTTTGTTTGATAACACTTTGACACATATTAGTGCTGAATGATTCGGAAACTAAGCAAGATTTCTGCAAATGTTGTTTTTTATAGAATGGGGATTTGTATGAAAATCTGTTTGTTTGTTTTGAGAATGCAAATTTCAAATACCCCCGAGGAAATCAGGATTCTGGCACTTAACAGCCGAGACAACAACAAAAATGTGGCAATAATAAACACTGAAAAATAACACTTTGGGACAAAGAACTAGAACTAGAGGGCAGAATATACAGTGATTGACATCACTCTGGATGAGTGGTCTTGACTCAGTAGCCCAAATTATTTGAATGATATAAGCATGGCACTGTTATGTGCTTGATTCCTGCAAGTCATAGAAAGTTAATCACAAGCTATTCAAATGAACACGAAAAAAGCATTCCTCAATCGTTAGCTACCCCATCCCTTGTCAATGGTCTCATGAAAGGATTTGTTAAGGACTCAACTACAAGACTGAACAAAGTTTAATAACGTACTGTGCTGGATACACGACTGGCAAAATCTCTCATAGTAGCCCTGGATGACAATCTTGAGATGGATCTTTTACTGCCTCCTCCATCTCTTACATCAGGCACCTTCAAATTTCTGCCTCTAGATAAGGAGCTGATTGTGGATTTAGCTGAGCCTCTAGAAGTAGTATGGAGTAAGTATTGTGAGTGTGCACGGCGTGAGCGTGCTCTGGAATCTGTTCCCTCAGATTCTTCAACTTCCTCTTCTTCTTCTGTCCAAAAATTAATTTCCATTACTAAAAAAGAACTAAAATGGTAATTCAAATAGATGAAAATAGCAATATGTTTTCTTGATTTTATGAAATTCATGTGTTTAATAAAGATAAGGACCAGAGTACTCCAAGGCAATGAAAACACCTGCCCTAAAACTCTGAAATCAGTTTAGTCCAATTTTAACATACATGCACCTAAGTGGTTAATTGTCTAAATGTAAACAATGAGAATTTTGCAAAATGTGCCAGCTGATTAAGCTTTTGCTAAGAATCTGAATGAATTTGATATCACCTTTATTTTGAATGAGTAACTTCTCTCATTAATCTGAAACCTTTTTACCTTCTAATTCAGGATCTCTGCCAAGTCCTCCCATTAATACTGAGTTGACATTCCACATTCCTGCTTGGAAATCAGTCTTCTGGTTCTTCAATTCCCGTAATTTCTCTTGTCGTTCTCTGAATGTTCAATGACATAAGTCACCTTTTCTGTGAAAATGACTTACAAATTGTATCCAAAGAGTTTCCAGGTATTTTGAAAAGTTGAAGACTTTGTCATGAAAATTATTTTCTTGGATATGTTTCTCCACAACCAAAATCAGGATGCTATTTTTTCCTTTGCTTTATATTGTGTTCATTTTTGAAAGCTTTCCTTGTGGCAAGGTGTACTTTAACTTAATGAAATGTTTGTTTTAAACCTCCAGCTGCACGTACAATGACAATAAAAATGGAATCAAACAAGATCAAGAAGCTGTGAAAATGTAACGGCTGAGTCAGTTAATCTGTCACATATGCCTGATGATGCTCGATAATATGCCAGCTTGGTAGTTTCGAAAGGCAAGGTCACTCATTAGCAAAATATGTGTACATGTAGGAGTGTAGCCACACTGATAAGGCAGACTGTACATTTCTGTTCAGGAATGACCCCACAGGCTTCATTCTGGGCATGTGATGTTGGAATACTGAACTGGCTCATTAGTGAGTCCAGGCCGGTTTTTACTTGGTGCACAAGTCAATAGCAATGCAAACATGTGACTTCAGATTGAATGTTTGTGTAGCAAAACTTCAATGAATTTCAACTTGCAAATTTCACTTAGAATATCTGGTGATATTAAATTTGCTTCCTTGGTGCTTTGCCTGAAGTATGAACTGGCTTTTAGGAAATAAATACTCTTTTCAAATACATGCAGAAGCCTACCGAGGGACTGCAGATGACTCATTAGCCCAGGTGAGTATTTTTAAGTGGCAACATGAATGAGCAATGTGTACACAGGACAACATTAGTAGTATGATTTCCTGCACAATCACGTTCCCACGTAGATGCATCCATACAACAAACATAAATGCCATGTGAAATCTTATTCTCTACATAAAATCCTCACACTATTACATAATACGATTTCCTGCACAATCGCGTTCCCATGTAGATGCATCCATACAACAAACATAAATGCCGTGAGAAATCTTATTCTCTACATAAAATCCTCACACTATTACATAATATGATTTCCTGCACAATCGCGTTCCCATGTAGATGCATCCATACAACAAACATAAATGCCGTGTGAAATCTCATTCTATACATAAAATCCTCACACTCTTACATGTAAATGCATACAATGTTGGTATTTTATTAAGCCTGTTCTCACCTCTGCTTGGCCATTTTTGAAGAGCTTAGAATATCTTGGTCTGCTTTACCAACATCACCTTCATCATCGTCACTCTCATACATGTGAAACACAGCACCCAGAAAATCAGTCTCCTGTATTGAAACCACATGGTAAGTCAGAAAAATGTCTTCAGTGATACAATTAGGCAATTCATGGGACTGTGGAATGATTGAAAGTTGATTGACTATTACTTTACTGATAAATAAATTGATTTACTGACTGAGTTTTGTTTAGTCTTTCATCAGACAATTTCAACGGTAATTGTTCAACAATTCTATCACTTCACACCACTGCTTTGAACAGATGTTCTAACTGCATTCCATAGGTCCTGTAGAACATAATGCACTTATGAGTTTACCAATAAAAGAATTCACTATAAGGTTGACTTGTGCTTGATGGGTTCAAGGTTTGAAACAATGATGATTCACTGATGACATTGCCAAGTATAAGTGCTTGTGACATGAGCCAGCACAGACGCCCTAATCCATGCGTACCTACATGTAGAACCATGTCCAACCAGGGTGGCATTGTCTATCATACCTTGTCTCTCTCTTAAAGAAATATACCCAGGGTAGATTGATAACAAATGACGCTGAAGAGTCCTTCATTGCAAAGGTTCTATTTCTGCCACTTGAGGGGGCGTTGTGTGTACCAACAAAATAGGCTTGATGGCTGCACACTCAAATGAGACAAGGTGCAAATGTATGCTGCTATCTATTGTCCACTGACATGCATAGAAAGATCATTACTGTTAACGTTTACATTTGGAATGCAGCTAAGATACAAAGGTTAAGCGTGTGATAAGTGAAGCACTACATTTACCTGCGTAGAGAGGTATTTGGTGTAATCATCTGAGCTAATGGTATTTTTCCACCAAGCAAGCCAAGAAGCATAGGACCTGGCATTCCTGTCATCCATCAAGCCTTGAGATACTGGTTTTCCCATACCAGTTCCGTCCAGATCCAACCCGCTTGAACTGGTTCCAGCCAGTAATCCACCACTGGCTCCACCATGTTCTTGCCCTGGTGTGCCAATCCCAAGGTTCATGTTGGGTGTTAAGGTTTCCAGCAGAGTACTTGTGGCAAGGGAGTAGCCTTGCTGAGCAGCAGGCTTCTTGGCAAAACTGGCATTGAAGATTGGACTGAATAACAGAGCAGAAATACAAGAATGCTTGACTGTAAGCAATACTAAATTGGACATCTCTCAGTCTGGTGTTTTAATCTGCAAATCAGAATGGCCTTGCATAAAATGAAGACTTTTACAATGATAATCAATGCGCTAAATGGAAGGTGGATGAGTGGGTTAGGCACAGGGCAAGGGCCCAGCAGGGTTCACCTTCTAGTAGTCTGGCTTGACGTACCTCTTGGACGATTCCCTATTCTCTTCTCAGAAGAACCAACCTTGATAAGCACTAGCTTAAGCCAGGGTCAACCTGAGTCCGGCCTGACATACTTCTTGGACCATTCAATATACCCAGAACGACCAGCCTTAGTGAAGATTGGTTTGAGTAATGGTCATCCTTAATTTTGGTCTGACATACCTCTTGGACCACTCTTCTCTATCATCTCCCCAGGGTGGGGTGTCTATCTTTGTCAGAATAGGGTTGAGCACTCTATCTTGACCATGTTTCTGCAGCATAGATGAAGCTAAGATGGCATGATGGGCTAAAGCTTGATGGCTGGATGAATGCTCAATAAACTCATCCTGGTGTTGGGAAATAGTGGTACAAGGAAAAGTTATGACGTCTATAAACAATTCTTTGCAAGATTATAATCAAAACAATAAATACAGTTAAAATTTAAGAGGCAAAGTTGCTAAAGTTATTTGACAAGCCATGTTCTACGTGTTTTTATAAAATTAAACCAACACTCTTGAATCTTGTTACTGGTAAAATGTTCAGATTACAAAGTATACCACTTTATTTGTTACTATTTATTGTCTTAGCTAACACTGAACAAGAAACAGGGCAATTCAACAAGGGACAGAGAGATCAGGTAAGATATGGTAGGTTGGAGGGGTAAAGTGAGGCAGGGTTTGGGCCAATTCATTCTTGGCAAAATCAAACATGAGCGTAAAATTGTGATATCAGATCAAGTATTTGTTCTGCAAATTGCTAACCGTTGAAGATATTTTGCAAATTTCACTGCAAATGTTTCATAATGTCCAAATTGCTTCATTTTCTGTATTTGCTTGAAGTATAGACCAACAGTGAGGAAGGAAGGAGGAAGTTACAGAAATGGCTTCTGTACCTGATCATAGGCTAAATGGTCAGTAGGCAATGTCTTCATAATCTCTCTGTACACTTCATTAATCTCTTGACCACGGAATAGGTTACTGTCCAGTTTCTTAATGGTGTTGCCATTCACCTGTAACCCAAACGAATTCAACTTGATCAGATCAACTTGAAACAGATGTAAAAATGTAATCTAACATTTTATCTTGGATAAAATGGCCTACTTTTGCATTGACACTGTGTCTTGTAAAGTTCTCATAATTCTTGAAAAATTTCACTGGCAATCCAGTTCATAAGTGTGACGTCACTTCAGTTTAAACCACGCCCACTGCACATGCACTGCATATAGAGTTTCATGAAATGATCACCGTCAACGTGGAACAATGGAGAGCCTGAAAATTGTAGCGCATTCGCCTTTGTGACGAAGTCACTTACAAACCAGATAGAGTAAAATGGCAATCAGAATTAGATGGCACTGCGGCAATTTCATGCTTGGATACAGGTTGTGCACATACACTGCATGCCTCTTCACCAATGTTGACTTGCCAAGCACAAGCATGCTCAAGTTTAAGAACATGCACATGAATGAGGTGCACTGCAGTATTAAAATTGGTACCCACTTGGCTCCAGCACCTGTTTCAATTACAAATACTGCCTCACAATAGGAATATTGTGTTGCCTTGTGGTAATATTTACTAAAAATGCTGAGAACCTAAATTGAAATTGGCTTACTTTAGCACTGCTTGTTCTTTTGTCCTGCCTGTGATGTAGGCTTCAAATGAAGTATTTAAAGAGCTTTTCAACCCTAAAATGATTTCTGGCCTTCATTAACAAAGAACTCACATCATCATTCAATTCATTGAAGACAGTAGTGTTGAGTTTGAGTGTAATAGATGAAAGGCTGACACGTTCTGACACACGGACATCTGAGGTACGAACAACAGACTTGTTTGGCATTCTGGTAGTGACAGTCGCAGGTTGAGGATGGGTAGGCGCTGAAATCTCAATGCTGTTATGAGTAAATTTAATGGCAAACTGTAAATTTACAAGTAGTGCATGAATACAGATCTCAGTGTTCAAGCAAGGATCGAAGTCCACTAGGAGTCATATTCACAATGTAGTCCATTTTGTGTCCATGTCAGTTAAACCCGTAGTTCATAAACAGGTCTAATAGGTGATGGAAATGAAAATGGTCTAGAACATTCTTATGGTTAGGTTACTTAAACCATCTCGGCTCCCTGGTAAATACACAGATCAATGGCTGCTATTGGCTTACAGGTGAGTAGGTCAGACAGTGGCCATAAGAGGCATCACTCACACCTCATAGACAAATCAATGGCTGATATTGGCTTACAGGTGAGTAGGTCAGACAGTGGTCATAAGAGGCATCACTCACACCTCATAGATAAATCAATGGCTGCTATTGGCTTACAGGTGAGTAGGTCAGACAGTGGCCATAAGAGGCATCACTCGGACCTCATACACAAATCAATGGCTGCTATTGGCTTACAGGTGAGTAGGTCAGACAGTGGCCATAAGAGGCATCACTCGGACCTCATAGACAAATCAATGGCTGCTATCGGCTTATAGGTGAGTAGGTCAGACAGTGGCCATAAGAGGCATCACTCAAGTGCTCACAGATAATTCATTTGTAACTCACTGTTCATTTCTCTCCTGTATTGCTCGTTTCTCCTCTATCCTCTTCAACTGTTTCTTTAACTCTTCTCTCTTGGCATCTGCTCTGTCTGTTAAGGAGATAGCCTGCATGGACAAAACACTTTTTAAGCACCTTAAAGCACTCCACCTGCTATCTTAATTGTTTCCATGCCCTCCTGTAACATTTAGGTCATCTTTGACATTTTATAAATGTTAACTGTAAATGTAATGCATCTCTTTTCATGACAATGAACGGCTTTACTCAGGGAGTATATCCAAGCCATTTTACTTCTTTTGGGAATCTTTCTGAGACTCAAGACATTTCCAGGGGAAAGTCCTCTCACCTGTAAGAGAGGTGGCAAGTCTTCATCCTCGGCTAGTTGTTCTTCTTTTCCCTCGTCTCTAGCTGATCGATAGCATGACAGCCTTTTAAGATCTTTTTGGAAATACTCTCTGGAGTCCTTGGATTTGGAAACATCCTCTTCTGTCCTTTTAGGTTTCTCGGGCTACAGGCCAAATCAACAACAATGGTAAGATTTAACAAGGTACAAAAGTGCGATACAAAACTTGCTGTGGTTAATGTCACCTCTGATTTGGCATTCATCCAACATATAGGACCCCTCAGCAAGACAAGCAGTGCTTCATGACACATGTTGTTGGTTATTCCCTTCGTTATGAGCTTAACATCTGCACACAAAATTAGATTATCACTTTACCACAAATAGTAACAACTGTAATTGCCATCAAATTGGAACAGAAAAACAAAGATTTCTAAATGGAACACGTTTGGAAAACTTTTTCTGTATCAGAGACAAACACAGAACCAAGTCTTTGTGGTCAGTCAGATGTCAGCTTCTTTTGCATTTGTATGAATAATAATTCATGCAGTGAACTTACAAGTTTAGGGTCAAATGCAAGGCTAGGTCTTCGCTTATGAACAGTACTGTAGTCGATTCCAAGATCTTCAAAGAGTGTTTCTACTGGTATGACTTCCAAGGATCTGGCTCTTCTTATCTTTGGGTGGGAAACAGGTTTCGTCTCTTCATCTCTGTAAGGAAGATGGCAATGAATTCTTCTTCTACAGTATAGATGAGTTAATGCCTAAACATATGCCTAAATCACATCACTACTGCAAATACGTTCTAACACGGGAGTTTTAAAAGATATTCTTTGGAATGCTTACTGCCTATAAATACTCTCCTCAAAATAGAGGAAGGTTCCTTGACAGAAAATCAAGTGTTTATCACTGTCAGGATATAAAACGTCTAATCTGAGCCTGTTCGATGTCTCTTTTTTCTCAAGGTTGATGCTTTCTCACCTCCTACTTCTCTTCCTGTTAGCCTCCTTTGCTCCTTGCATCTTAGCAGCATGAAGTGATGCCTTTCTTTCAGCAGCACTTTGTTCTAATAACTCCCTTTGGAGAAGATTGACATCTGGTAGATAATCCAATACCTTATGGGACTGTATGGCTGGCATTTGACGGTTCAAGTCACGTACTTCGCGTTCTACTGTCTGACGATAACGTTTCTTCCGTTTTGGACGGCTTGTCTCAATCTGTTGGGGGGAATGAAAACGTTTACTTTTTCCATGTGTCCCGATGAGCTTTGAAGCTTTTCATGATGAAAGTAGCAACTTAGTAGTAGACGTTTGCAGTAGCACCATGCAAAGATATCTCTTTTATGAGTATGTGTGGTTTTGAAAAGACTTTTCAGAACCACACATGCTCATAAAAGAGATATCCTCTGATGGGTCCTGCTCTGCAAATGTTTGCCTCCTCCCCCAAAAAGATTCCCTTTACAGATATCTACAATAAACAAAAATAACTTTGTGGTTTCAGTTACAATACTGTGTTCTCCAAACATTTTGACCAAAGCTGTTGTTTTTCTTCATGCACAAAGCAATAAACAGCTAATAAACCAGATGTATGAACAAACTAGAGGATATTTTGCTTACTGCCAACAATGTCCTACAGAGTTGATGCACAGGTGCAAACCTATATGATCTTTACATGAATGCTGTGTTACAGCAATGTTAGATGTGTCAACTCAATCTCTCTCTCAAGACTGTGGGAATACTTGTGCACACAGCTCATAACAGAAATTGGTATGTTAGTACCAGTGTTGTATGTGCATGTAGTCAATTATAAGACTTGTCATAAGACTAGTCACAAGACGTATTACAATTACAGAGTAAACAATGAGAGAGGAATGCCATTGTTGCAGTTCATTTGAACAGATTGAGACAGGAATTTAGACTGAAGGTCTTGTGGGGGAGTTATGATGGACTTGAGGAGTCTCAACTACAACACTGCTTAGGGTAATTTGATAATTGATAAAAGAGTGGGTTTTTTTGCATTTTTATGATTCCTGCACGTGAATACATCTTGACTGTCTCTTTTCAAGACTGTGATTAACATACCAACTTCTGGTAAGAAAGAGGAGCGACATCTTCCTCTGGGGCTGCATCATCAGGAAAGTCCTCCTCAGAATCTGACAAGACACCTCTGATATCAGCAACGATGTGACGTCTTACAGCTAAGATATTCAGGCTTTATGAAGATAAAAGGGGTCATGTTAGTTTCATTCCAATGTCATCATAGCAGGTTAATACAAAAAGAAATATGCATTAGCAATTGGAAGTGTTTGCAATTCAAAAACTCAGGACATTAAAATTCAAAACATTGAAATTCAGGTATAAATACATTTCTTGATGTCCTATATTGCGATATTAAAACATATCTGGATTTCATCAATTAGAAACTGAGTAAAGCATGTCACAATTTTCAAAAAGAATATGTCTGTTGATTCCAAATTATGCTTGACATCAGGAAGATTGCAACCTACAATTTGTTGGCATCTAGAGACAATTGGGCATTGAGTCTGCTCATGTTTGCTTGTTTGCTGAAAACTCCTCGCTCCTCCAGAACTGAAAACAAAAATAAAAGAAGTCATCATCACTCTATCTTGCAGACTACTTATCCAGTACAGTTCTTCAGAGCCTACACCAAAATTTGACCATTTTTAATATTTCAAGCAATTTTTGTTAGAAGTACCGTCAGTACCATTTATCATATTTCAGGTACAAATCTTGTAGTACTAAACTAGTAAATGGTTTATTCACCAAGCAGCACAGGCCATAAAAATGTAGAGTTTATTCAATATTACTCACTTTTAGCTTTCTCCACATAATGCAGAAACAGCTGCTCACATACAGTAACTATATGAACTGTGATTCTCCTCTGTAGTTCCTTATTCTCTTCAGCAGTCTAGGAAAGACACAATCACAACATCACAGAATCTGCTGCATAAGCCAGCTTGATAACTGCTGTTAACCATACCTCATACATATTAATGAAGTCTAGGAAACGCATAATCACAATATACATGTATAACAGGATATACTGCAAAAGCCAGCTTGATAACTGCTATTTACCACACCTCATACATATTCATGAAGTTTAGGAAAGAACCGCAATATCAAAGGCTCTATTGCAAAAACCAGCTTGATACATTGCAACTGTTATTTACCACACCTCATACATATTCATGAAGTTTAGGAAAGACATAACCACAATATCACAGGATCTGCTGCAAAATCCAGCTGATAACTGCTATTTATCTCACCTTGTACATTTTCATGAAGTTTAATGAAACTATCACCCAGAGTACAGCAAACATCACCCTAGCTACTCTACACATGACACATGGAGCCATAGCTGTTCATGTACAAGTTTATCAGCATTTTCCTCTGCTCAGTAATGCCAAACTAAAAACTTTTCAATGGCAACTGTAAATGTATGCAGTGTGGTAAAACAAATATTCATTATTGAGGGTGGATAGCTGATATAGCTCCCTGAGGTATATTGAGATGAAAAATGTGTTTCCTTGGCTAGGCCTTAGGAACTACAGTAGTTTGTCAACTTCTTAAATGTCAGGAAGCTAACAGCGACTACCCAACCTGAAACCATGTTACATTTGTTTAACAAGAAGGCAATGTACATGATAATGATAAATCAAGACTAACAAATCCTGTCAAATCCCAGGATGAAATTTTGTATTGAAAATGGCTGTTTTTTAGGGTGCATTAAACTCACACACAAGGAAGTACAGGAACAAATCACAAACAATAAAAATGTAACCTACCAGAAAGGGGTCATCCACTTGCCGTCTGATGTCTGGCCAGATGCAATTGACTTCACCCATGATGATGCCAGCCTAAGAATGGTAGGTAGAAACAGGTCAACTTAGACGGCTTAACAGCAAGCAAAGAACATTTCCTAATAGAATATAATTATGTATTGAGCAATATGCATATTAATAAAATAATTGTAATAATTGCAACATATAATTTCTACTAATCTGGGAACCTGATCAAGGCACTATACATTATTACCCCTGTTCAACGGGCCCATAAACAGGCTAAAACCATCTGAGTTCCTTTGGGGAGTATACAGCTCAACGCTGTCATTTCAGGCACAAACAGCAAATCATTTACATAACCACTTCTACCCTCATAGGTGCCCATTTACTCCTGAATGGAGAAAGGCAAGTGGGAGTAATGTGAATTGTCAAAGGTCACACCATGTAAGCAGCGACTGGATTCAAACCCCGACCCTACATGAGTCACAAACCGTGACCACTTAACCACATACCTTAATAAAGTCAATCTGATAGGTGGTTTCACCTGCAATGTTATCAGCCTATAACTAGAGAGTTAGTAGAAAATGAGTCGGCTCTGTCACAACTATTTATTGATCAAAAAAGTTCAAAATGAGTGTTGTAAACTTTAATCATAATACCAAGTTGTGGAAGGTGAAAAACAACTCAACTGGGTATGTTGAAATGACTTACCAATGTCTGTTGGTCCTCCATGGTCATGTGAGTAACTTCAGGCTTAGCAGCAATTCTACGACGAATCAGCTTAGCTAACTGACTAAATGTGGATGGAGGTGTCTTGATACTCTCCTTTTGGTATTGATGTCATTCAAACAATAACAGAAATAAGAAATAAGAAGTTAACATATAACAGGTTCATCAAGCAATTCAAACTTTCATTTGCACATCGTACACATGCATACATTTTCATACATCCAAGGATATACTTGTTATGCAAAAGGAGAATCCATTCAATGACTGATTGCTTTATGTTCATTTTATTGGGAACTGAGGTACCTTCATGTACATGTACTCGCTGTGACAAAACTGCAAAAAACCCATGACAACTTAATAACAGGAGCAGAAATATTTAATGGTTAAAGTGTATTACTGAACAAGGAGATGATCTCAATTTTTCTCCATCGCACTTGGACTTTGTCAAAAATTGGTCATAATCTACTAGATAGCAAAGTTGAAGCACTCATATGACCATGTAAACTTACATCTATGGGTGTTACAGGGCGTTCAATATCCAACTCAACTTTCTCTGGAACTGTACACAAATGAAAGGACAGCGTGCATGTTTTTTATGTAAGTTGTCCCACTTTGTTCAATATGAGAAGTGACTTAAACCTAACCTCTCTCAGTTTTCTCAATACACCTTGCTGAATCTAACAGAAACATCTGCAAAATACATAGAACAAGCCTGCCAAACTCCAACGAGTACAACAACCACAGTATATTGAAAAGTTTGCTTATTAAATTATGCAGAGTCCAACCACTGCAGTCTGAACATACTGGATCCAACAGAATCCAATAATACCTAAGTGTGAACCTGTTGAATTCAAAAGAATCCACCAGTAACAGAATCCAATGACAACAATCTGCTAGATGCAACATCCAACATCCAGCAAGAACAGGTCAATTTAAACCCAGCGGACTGTGTCCAATTGTTTTTTGGATTTAGTATGATTAGAGTTTCAGAATTGTTTAGACGTTATGGCATATTGAAAAACAAAAATTAGGTCTTACCCTTTTCATGGAAATAAGGTGCAAACAGTGTCAGAGGACCTAAGATATCTTCATAACGTTTCTGTAAATCACGCTGTGTAGACAAACAGGAAAGGTATATCATGTACATCACTATTGCTAAATGCTTTGATTCTCTGGCACAAAACTATGTGTACATGTATGCAGGTTCGGCAAAGTAGTCGGAATATATCTTGCCAATATCATTTTCCACAGTAGTTTGTTACTACCCTTAAACCAAATTTTACTTGCATGTTTTACAAACGATGTAATATATTGGAAATATATCCAAAGCAAATGTAATTTTTGATGATGAAAATATTCAAATATGGAAAATGGAACTTTCAACTGATTTCAATCAGTGTGCATCATTAACGTTAATCAAAAATGAAAAATACAAAAAAGATTTGCCGATGATCCACTTACTGTTCCAAAGCCCAACCTGCCCATGGTGTACAGCTCTTCTGTCTTTTGAAGTGTTTGGGCATTATCAAATGACTTACTATCTCCTTCCACAGTTGCCATGGTAACAGATAACAACAGCTAAATCATTCAAAATTTAGCAACACACACTGAAATGAGAAAGAGTAAAACATGTCCATGTAAATGTTGCCATTTTCAATGCTATTTTTTTATCCCCCTTCTCCCTAAAAAGCCCTTTGCCTTTTTGATTTGTCTCTCTTGTGAATAAAAAATCATGTTGCATTTTCAGTAAAATAAGCACAGTAGCTCTAGTGACGGTACAAAAGACTGGTTGCTGTCTGCTTTAATTGCATCAATCTGTAGCATTGGAAAAGAACCAGACCGGTCTGCAATGTCAACGATTGCTGCCTTTAAACACAGGTGCTTTTACAGAGCTCCCTCAAATTTAGACAAAAGAAGTCAGGGCCCAGACTGTAAAAAGCAAATGATTTCATCAACCAGATGGCACATTCCCAGAGTTCTCACTGCTTTGTACATAAAGGAGTGGGGAAGTCAAGACTTGTTTGGCACAAACATTCATGTACTAAGCTTACTTAGTCTTCTGATGACAATAAATTACTTCCTAAATTGTAGGGAAAGGTAGGCCTAAGTTCCCTATGAATAGCTCCCTGCAAATTGTCTGACCCTATGCTCAAGTAGGCCTTTAGTGAGCATAAAGCCTACTGGCAAAATTTCAGCTAAACATACACGTAGCAGATGCAGAGGGTAAAATGTCACTTGTACGGACATTCAGAATCGAGGCCCAGTAGGAGGAGTTCAACAGTGCCCTGTTTACAAGTCTTACACGTCATGTCAGTCTCGTACTGTAACTGCAGCTGGTGTCTGTCATGTCTGACAATGCTGATGACAGGTCTAATTGAACCAAGCAATCTTTAGCACGTTTAGCAACAGATGACGAAAATTAACCCCTGCCCCAACAAAATCAATTTTAAAGTACGAAGTTCACAAAAACATGTAGCTGAACAGGTGCAAAATAAATCCCCCAACCACACATTTTTGTTTTTGAACGTACATTTTACAGTTAAAATTGAGAAGAACTAAGTCAAAAGAGCCACCAAATATAATAAACAAACTTATTGAGCTTGGGGTTTTCCCATCGGTTGTCAAATGGATTGCTTCTTACAGAACATCAACAGGCAGACCTTGTCTGGGGGTGTTCCCCAAGGTACTTAACTTGGCCCGGTGATACTTTTGATTTGCATACTTTTGATTTGCATAAATAGCACTCTTGATTCCAGTCGTAATAGATGTTGGAAATATATGACTTGACCTTGGGGGAAAACTGTTTTTTCAATGAGAATAGTAATGTACAACATGATCTTGATATCTTTGAGTGAGTGGTCAAAGAGTAATGGGTTTTCCTTGAATCCTGCTAAATGTCAAACATTACGGGTGTATTTCGGCAGACAAGATCCCCCAGAAGCCACCTACAATATATCTAATGTTCAGCTACCTAATGTGACTAGTGTCAAGCTCCTTGGGGTCATCCTTCAGAGAAACCTGAAGTGGGATGGTCACATTGCCAACATTCTAACTAAGGCTGATCGTAAGCTGATCATGATTCGTAAACTTAAAATAACAGGATTAACTAAGGATGAATTGGTCTGTATGTATAAAAGCTACCTGCGACCAATTATGGAATAAGCTGTTCCTGTTTGGCATCCATAGTTGACGACAGCACAATCTAACCACTTAGAATCATTCCAAAGACGAATTTGTTGCATCATTCTTGGCAATAATTATTGTAATTACGAACAAGCTCTGCGTTTACTGGATTTAGAAGCCTTAAAGGAAAGAAGGCCTGACAAGGCATGAACAGAGAGGAAAAATACCTCCTGTACTGGGGGAGACAAATTGCTTACAAATTATCCAGGACAGGGAGGAGAGGATTGAGGGGAAAGGGAGGGGAAAAAACCTATGTGATGCAAAAAGAGGAATACTGTGTTTAGTATTACTTACATTTGTAGAGAAAACCTAGGAATAAAAAACAGGCCTGTGACATTGGTGAGAAGGGAATCAGCAACCTAACAATACAATTTTGCATTCATTATTACTATGCTAGGCCTAGGTAATGAAGGCTAAAATTTTGATCCGAGGCAGCTTTGAAGACAAGACAGATGTAGCCTTGGCCCTTAACCATGCTAAGGTTACCTTAGACTAGGCAGGGACGGCTAGCTAGCATGGACAGATAGGGCCATGGACTAGCCAAGGTGGACTCCCTGGCACATGGCCGTACTACGTTACGTAATGAAATGAAGACAACGTCCAACCTACTCTAATCTAATATGTCTAACATTAGCCCCACTAGTGTGGCACGGACTCTCACTCCCGATCCACCCTTAGCCACACATCCGTATGGGCAATTTCGTGTCAGCGTACTGAACATTTTCGGCGCATCCACTTATCATCGATTATCACACGAACATGATCCTGGACCTTTCCGTTTTCCAAAAACCACTTATTGAATGATTTCACTCACGTTATTCAGGTATTTTCCAGTCTTTTTGCCTTTATCCATTCAATCTAATGGGCTCACTCTCTCAGTCGCTATCTTTAAAATAAGATCGTTGAACAATACGTCACTTGACCCCTCATCGTCTCGATGGCTGTTCCATGTCAAGACATCTAAACTGCTGCCAAAGTTTTGGAAGAGTCCATTGGTACATGTAATGATCGCTCAGTCCGTTTATTACATGTGTCTTATCATTCAGTAAATGGTTTTTAGAAAACGGAAAGGTCAAGGATGATGTTCATGTGCAAAAAAAATTGTGCCCATGATGATAAGTGGGTGCGCCGAAAATGTTCAGTACGCCGACATGAAATTGCACATACGGATGTGTGGCTAAGGGTGGATCGGGAGTGAGAGTTCCTGCCACACTAGTGCAGTAGTGGGGCTATTCTAACCATGGTCTAACATGTCTAAGCCACGGACCAGACACGATGGATGACGGAGGTAGTGTTACTGCTTATGCACGATAGCCTAGGCCAAGACCTATTCCTACAGGCTACATGATCACAAACACATAGGGAGCATACCGGTACGTACTTACACAATTTTTGGTCCTTTTTGCTTTAGCATTTTGAAAGAGAGCATTTTCAGTGATATCACCCATCAGCATAGGCCTGGCCCCTGTAGCCAATGTCGGTAACGCGCGTAACACGTAATCGTCGTAGGCTTGGCTCCCCAGGTGACAGGCTACATTGACATTGCGATCTTTTGATGATGGACCAGACTATTTACATGTTGCTAAGGAACATCGACACTAACGTGTAGTTGAAGATTCAAATCTGTCGTGTAGTTTGTGTAACTTAAAATAGTTGCTCATGTGAGGGCGCTGTTTTGAAACGTCGCGGGCGCCGGCGCGCGGCAGTCTATTTTATGGCATGCGTACTGCATCCTCTGCCTCCTGCAGACAATGCCCATGAGGCAGGTTAAGTGGTGAGCTTTGTGAGGATATTAGCATTCCAACTTTGTCCACTGGCGCATGGCATGCCCTCGCTTTGTTTTTATACAAGGGCCTAGCCTCAAGGCAGGTCATGTGGCCATAGCTTCTGCACAGAGTTTGCATGGTTTCATGTTATGCTACATCCATGCAATGATGCGTGTGTGCGTGGGGGGGGGGTGGGGCAACACAACAGTTGGCGGTTGGGAATTCCTAATAATGGCCTTAAGTAGGCTAGTCATGATGGTGTGAAGAATCATGAATGTTTCCTACCTCCATGATCTGATGGTAGAATTGACTTTATTAAGCCTATAGGCATAATGGGCAGGATAGGACATACAACATATGTACATCATACATGATGTAGGGCCTTTAAGGTTTGGAAGTTGATGCTGCTACATGCACAGGGAGCATTTTTTTAACTGCGGTAGATTTGTTGAAGTCCTAAAAGGATGGTCAGGACATCATTGTCCAGAGTGCTACATTCAGCTGTCTTTTAATTCGTAAAAACAAATAAGCCTAACCTATATCTGCATGTATAGGCAGTAGTTTAAAACTTACTTCTGTTGTAGCATCTGCTTGGAACAAAGACCTATTTGTAGGTTTTATTGGGCAGAATAGCATGGATCCATTTCCAAGTGTTTTGTTTTGCCATTGTGGCCTTGGAACACTTGTGTCATTGAATTTTCATATCTGTGTCTTTTCAGGATAAGAGGATTGCTTGACATATCCGCAAAGATCTGCCAGAAAAACAATGTGACCTATTTTCCTAAAATAATGAACTTCATGGCTTCCACTCAAAGTGGCTCTGCATCTCAGATGGATTGCAAAGCAGAGGCAAAAGAAGCTGAGCTGATGAAACTTTCTGGCTCACCTATAGGTTTTATTCAGTCATGCTTCAAGAGTAAGAATGGAACACCCCGCCAACCATCTGTCTGTGCATTTTCAAGAGCCAAGTTGAGAGTATTAAAGGAGGTCTTTCCCAATCCGGAGCATTCCATTCAGGGTTTGGCCGAATTTTCCCATGTTTGGTAAGTCTTCACTGCCATTTGAAAGCAAATTTTTGTTTTAGACAAAACTGTATCATGTAGGTTTTTAATTGCTTTTGACGGTACTAGAGAATTTTTAATAATGGCATTTACACAAGATAATTTTCTGCAGCTGAAACTTTTTCTCAGAAGAAATTTTGCACAACTACAAAATTCTTATCCTATACACTATTGTATGTTG